GTAATATATATGACATATTATCCATACAAATTGTGTATAGACGCAGCAGATTTTCATGGAGTCGTGTTGGACACATGGTCAGAACAAAAAGGAGAAATAAGGATGAATTATTACTGTAAAGAAAACAATTCTGGAGTGATCATCAGCATCAGCTTTGGAAAACTTTATTTAAAACAGATTTGGATTAGGGCTGCACGATATTCGGAAAACGTGATGTATTAAATGTTGTTTAATATCGCGATGACGATATAACTTGCGATAAATAAACACACAGTCCACTGACGCAGAGATCACAGGAAGCTCCACAGCCAGGACAGGGCCCACACCCGGCTGCAGCGCCAAGTCAGGTTCAGACACAAGGGAGCCATGCAGAGCTCGACTAGGTCCTATTACAGTGTTTATTTGGGGTCTTTTCATACATGTTTGGACCATGAAACGTCTTTTTTCACAGTTTTTAGTGGCTCAGTCAGTAATTTACTGCTCTTCTCTGTGTCTTTGTTGTTTATGCTGTGCACTATGTCAAACCAAACGGAGCGTCATCATCAGAGAGAGAGCAGTGTTGATATTGTGGCGAGTGCGTGAGAGAATGATGAGCTGAAAGAGCGAGAGATGCATACACTCTCAGCAGTGAAGTGTGTCTGCGTGTGTGCGCTGTTACTTCCCTCAGATTCTGAGACCAGAAATAAGCTTCATAATACTTTTATATGCTCTTCTATGTAAAAATTTTTTAAAAAAAAACTATTTATTGCACATGTCTGTACTGCTGGAACACAAGAATTTCCCCTCGGGATGAATAAAGTATGTATATCTATCTATCTATCTATATAATCAGCAGCTTGTATTGATGAATCTGACCCGGGACAAACGTGATCACCAAGTTTCCACACTAGATTTTAGTCGGAGGAGGTGGAGCGAGATTTGACGGAGCCGTGTCGCCCTCTTAAAATTTCTGAAATCTCGCACATGTTGATAACGTGATGAAACTAGATTTGCGATAAATCGTGCAGCCCAAGTTTGGATTATATCACACAGTGGTACATTCACGTCCACGTCCACATCACAAACATTTCTTATTTTGTGCTGGATTGAAAGAAAGGGGAACTTCTCTGACTGTTCTCTTCACTCCTCTCTGATTGGTCAGATGCTGGATACTCTTTGCTGAGGTCAGTAATACTTTGTTTTTCTTTCTCTTCTCAGATTAAATGTTTCTCCTGAAGACTTTTCTTCTGTGTGAATCTGCATCTGTGCAGCGTCTCAGACTGTTTTCTACCAACACCTTACCTGTTCTCACTGTCTTTACCAAGGTAACATGTTATATCATCATTGTATATCACTGACCTATGTCCTGTATTGATAATGTGTCACTAATGTAGGTCCTGTTTATAATCAATTATATATCACTGATGGACTGTATGTAATCAGCCTTAATTAACAGAGTTAATTAAATGACATGAACGTGCATGAAGTTCTCTCTCTATCTGTTTCTCACGTTTCTCAGATTAAAGAGAGAAAACACAGCAGCTGAAATGATGAGTTCAGACTAAAACTGGGCGATTCATTGAATTTCAATTACAATTATATAAATTATTATGAAAACAAAGTAATCGACAAAAAAGGTTATCATCCTGCGTTTGGTTTTGTACTCAACTATGCCAGGACACTCGTGGCCCGCTGCTACTGATTTATTGCCACTGCTGCTTCAGGATTGCGGAAGACGCACGTTATAGGCATGGTATCGAACTACCCTGCTGCATGTCCACACTCCCACGCTGATCTGCGCTCACTTTAAACATGACAGTGATGACACCACACTAATCAGAAGTTAGGACCCGTTCAGGACTCTGTGTTTTGTTGATTCAGCAGTTCACCTGCTACACAACACAAGACATAACATGGCTCACAGAGACAGGACACTAGACTTAAAGTGCCCGGAACAATCCATTCCGAACTGATGCATGATCTGACACCATCGATTAATACTAGAATAAATGTGATCGTCAGTTTCCAGACAGGACATTTCTTCCCTGCTCACTCAGTGTGAAACTATAATCTGTTAACATGTTATTTGTCTTTAAAGTTCATTAAATGCTTGATGTTTCCAAATTTAATGAGTAATACTGTTAAATAATCGTGATTAGGATTTTTGTCATCATCGAGCAGTCCTAGGTCAGACTGTCTGCATGGACCAAAGTAAACAGGCGGTACATAGCGCTTCTCACACCAAGCTTGAGATCTCTTATGTTATGTTGTAATACGTTATCTGTAAAAAGTTTATTATGAAATTAAAATATGGGGGGTCGCCACAGTCTATAAAATTAATGGGAAACACTGATTTATCATCAATATATCAAATGTTACTTGTATAATCCATATTCACAGTTAGTCTCACCGATTTTCACAAGGTGCAACATCCTCCCAACAAGAGAAAATATACAAAACAACCTTTAACAGGGAAAAAAAAAGTCATAATCAGAGGTGACATCACTTCCTGTCCCAGGACAGATTAACAATATTTACAAGATTGATGTGAAAAGACATAGTGTACCATATATCGATATCAATGTATCAGTAGTTATATAATCTATAGTTGTGTCTGTCTTTAGGATCCATGTTCTCTCTGCGATGAAGCGAAAGAAGAGCTGGAACCGTTCAAACACAGAGTAAGCCAAACATACGTCCAATGACATGTCTGACATGTTGTCACAAACATGTGACTAGCATGTCGTACTACAACATATATCAGACCATGAGAAATGTGTCTGTGACTGAAACATTGATAAATCTGGGACATATTGTTCAGTGTGTCGCTTGTTGATCTCGTCAGTGTCACTGTTGATGGTCTTTGTTGTCATGACAACTGTGATGGGATGAAACAGTGATGTCTACTGCTGCTAACAGACACTCTGATCCTGGTATAGTTGTTGTAACAACAACATCAGAGGACATGCTTATGTACTGCTGACATAGCGATGAGGAGTTTCTGCATGTTTAACATGCTACATGTGATGTCTCTGTCTGTCCCTCAGTTTATCCTGCAGCAGGTGGACATCAGTCTTCCAGAGAACAGGGTGTGGTTGGACAGGTACAAGTGGGACATACCGGTCTTCCACCTGAAAGGACAGTTTGTGATGAAACATCGAGTGGACGTTACTCTGCTGGACAGACTGCTGCGGGATGCTGAGACACAACAGACATGATCTCGTGATAATTATTGCTCTGAATGTAAATGTCCAAAAATAAATTCATGAATCAATGTCTTTGTTCAAGAAATGTTATTCATTTCACTGTCACTCATAACACAATTAAACCAATCAGAGCAGCCCCTCAATGTGAGGTCAGCTGCAGAATATAAAACTGTAGTTTAAAAAATTTGTCTTTGTTCGCTTTATTGGCAGGTGGCAACGAACGTAAAGGGTTAATACCGCCATCTAGTGTCTCTACTTCTTCTTTATGGTTAGGGTTAACCCTAACCGTTAATGAATATAAAGACGATCTGCGACTGTATATAAAGACCATCACTGACTGTATTTAAAGATGATCGGCGACTGTATATAAAGACCATCACTGACTGTATATAAAGACCATCACTGACTGTATATAAAGATGATCACTGACTGCATATAAAGACCATCACTGACTGTATATAAAGACCATCACTGACTGTATATAAAGACCATCACTGACTGTATA